CCTGCTAGGAGCCACTCTCCTTCTCAAGATGGGCTTCTCGTCGTCCACTGGACCTGAACACCCCTCGCCCTCTTGGTGCCCTGGGGTAGGAACCACGCTCCTGAACTCTGGATCTTTCCCACCTCCCACAATCCCAGGGCCTATGGTTGCCCTGCCAGTTGGAGGCTGCTCTGTGGTCACTGCGGTTGAATGTAAGGTTCTCCTTTTCCCTGCCCTGGACCTCAGCCCCCTCCTCTGTGCTCCATCTCTCCATATCATGGTGCTCCTCTTTCAAGTCCACTGCCTCTGTTAGTGGTGAAGGGTCTTCAGGACACAACTCCTTCCTTTCAGCCAAAGGAGCAGCCTTGCTTCTGCTGTGAGGCTTTGGAAACTCCTGGCTGTGCCTCCCAGCAGGTCTCCGCTCTGGTCTCTGGCTGAAGGCCCTGGGCCCCCTGGAGCCATGGAGTGGATGACAGGCTTCCTCTCCCCGTTCCTGTGAGCCACTGCATAGTTGCCTGCCCTGGCCTCTGGGGCCTGGCCTCTCCCCTCTGTGCCTTTCCCTCTTGCTTGGTTGCTCTCTGGGCACAGCAGGCCTCTCGGGCTGCCCAGGTTCTGCCCTGGCCTCTGGCGCCCCAGCTGGCTCTGGGGCCGAGGCTTGTCTGGGCGGCTGGGGCCCATCCACAGCACCAACACTCACCAGTGGCTCAGAGGCAGTGACTGCTTGCCCTGGATCCGCAGCAGCTGGAGGCTGAAAGAAAGAAGCCATTGGTGAAGAGAAGGACGGAGGTGTCCCACAGCAAATGACAGTGCTCAGTCCTGCAGCCCAGGCTCCCTCGGGCAGCTCTGTGCCCCCAGTGTCATACCGCCTGGAGGCTGATGAAATACCGGTTCCTCTCTGCTTCGGGGTCGATGATACCTCCTTTCTCCTGCTGTCTCTTGAAAATTAGGCGCAGTTCTTCCTGGTGCTGCAGCATCTTGGTGTCAGGCCTGTATGGCTCCTGAGCAGCAGAATGCAAGGCAGGATGAGAGCTCTCTCAACACTTAGCATGGATAGGCAGTGGCAGGGCTAGGGGCTATTCCCCAAACCCCTCTTTGATCACACACTGCCAGGCAACCTGCTTCCCTTCAGCACATTGGTCAGGCTACAGATGTGTGGGAAATCCCTGGACAGAGGCAGAGCATCCCAATGCAGACCCACTGTTTCTTCAGTGACTGCCTTGGGACACCTGCTGTGGGGCAGGATGCAGAGCAGCTATAATCAGGTCACTCGCCTGGCCTGATTATTCCCATGGCAGAATCACCTCTGAACTGCCCTTTGGATGGGACATTTAGGAGGACCCAAAAGGGTGCATTCATTCATCCATTACAACGTCCCAGTTGATGCTACCCAGTGAGCAGGCACAGCTGGGCAAGTGAGCCCTCATTTCTTACCAGAGGGTGCTGCGGGGGCGGTGCTGCCTTCAGAGCACAGAGATCATAGACCAGTGTCTCCCGGCAGACAGGGCACTGCACACCGACTTCCTGCAGGGAGGCAAGAGGTGGTATCAAACCCTGTCTGTGACCCAGCTCATGTGCTGCCTGATAACTCCATGCTGGAAGTGAACAGGGTGGCCTTCTTCACTCTTCTGCCAGGGTATGGAAGCGCAGGGAGGTTTCCAGCAGCATGATAGTAGCCCTAGGGTTTCAATGACTGCTATGGAAGGTGTCTCCACATGAGGCATGCTGGGATTTGTGCTCCAGCAGCTGACTGCTGTACAAACCAGCCCTGTCAGCACATATGGCTTCAGTCCTCCTCAGCCTAGGGTCTATTTTTCTCCACTCCAAACTGGAGTGTGTCATCTAGGCAGCACCAGTTTGAAAGGGTTTGTAGGAGGGAACCTCTGACTTGTTTCATGCTTAGCTGCACTGTTTGCTCTGCAGCTGACAACTGTTCCAACACCTGCTCAGGCAGTGTTTTATCACCCCAGAACACATGTGATCATGTTTATACTGCTGCAAACCTCTGCAGTTCAAGGACTAGAGAAGGAGCTCTCTTTTCTAACTCATGTGGTTCCAGAAATCCAAAAGTACAACTCCCCTGCCCCCTCACACAGCAGGTACTAACCCAAAAAATCCAATAAACCAACTCCTTTTGTTGGAAAAGGTCCTTGGAGATCATTTGGTCTACTCCCTGCTCTGATTCTCAAAATAGGCATGACACTGTGCTGTTGGGTCAGACTAGCCCTTGCTCCATGTCCCAAAGTGGGTGATACAGATATCACGAGGACCTGGGCAGGGGCCCAGGGGAGGGAGACCAGGGCTCAGTACCTGTTTTGGGGAAGGTGCCAGGTGCTGCTCTCTTTCCTCCTGCTGCATGAGGATCTCCTGCTCCATGTGCTGGGCATAGCGGGCCAAACAGTGGGAGTGGAAGTAGTGGTAGCACTGGGTCTTTGTGAAGGCTTCTCTCTCCTGTTGAGGAGAAAGGGCAGCTTTGAAGGATTTCTGAGCACAGGGTTGTGTAGCCTTCCCAGCTGAGGTAGGTTCCTCCCTTCCGTGTCAGTTGTGGCAGTGGGGAACTAGTGCTAATGCTGGTAGAGCCACCTAATATCTTCTGCTAGGCTTCATCTCAGCAATTACTGGGATGCTGTTCCTTGTTTCAAGTGTTATAAACACTCCTAATATCAAGATACTAAGTTTTTGTGACTGATTTCTCTGTGTGTGTGTTCCTGTGTAAGCAGCAGTCTTCCCACTTGATGTGTTCTCTTTCCCAGGCAGATGCTGACTTCTCTTGCAACCTGATAAGGCAAGCTCCCCTGTCCCCACTGACCTCAGCACCTGCCCAGATGTGTTCCAGTCCCTCCTGGCCACCTGTGTGCTCAACTCCAGGTGAGGTGTGACCAATACAGGGAAGCTGAGATAGACCAGCAACTATCCCCAGACCCTAGCGACTTCTTTGGAGATGCTCCAGTACCTCTCACTGCCCCTGTGCTCAGTTTCTGTAGATGACGATCTCCAGGTTGATGAGGAGAGTGGTGTTATTGCCCTGGGAGGGGCCATGGTTAGTCAGATCACCCACATACCAGGGGACAGGAGCTGCCGAGGCACATCCCACTCTCAGGCTGATATCCCAGCCTCAGGATTCCCATTCTCTTTCCTCACTTCGCAGTCAGCTTGAGGGGCCAGGAGACCCATGCCTACCTGGAATCCGTAGAGGCAGATCACACACTGGCCATGAGGAATGTTGTTGTCAGTGAGAATCTCCTTCCCCTTCTGCAGAAGCATTAAAGCAAATGTTTTACTCACAGTCTGCCCATGGGCTCAGGGCCGTCCCACCTCTCAGGCAGTCTGTGGCTGGTCAACCCTGAACTCCCTCAACTCTCACCTCAATCAGTTCATAGAGCACCTCTGTCCCCAGCCTGGCTTCAGCAACGCTTGTGAGGGTCTGGGAAATCCTACAGCAAAGCAGCAGAAACGCTTAACACAAATTTAGAACACCTTCCGACTATTCCACATACCTGCCATCCTGCCATGATGACAGGAGAAAGAAACAGAGCACTGGCCTCCAGGCTTTGCCTGCAGCACAGCATGAGCACACGTGCACACACATATTCATGTGCTGTCCTGACTCCCCACGTGCCGGTGCACAGGATGCCTTTGTCCTGACAGGACCTGCAGGAGCAGCTTTGCTGACTGCCTCAGCTCAAGCTCAACCTGTACCCCTTGGTTTTGCGGGATCTGACAGCAGGCCCTGAGCACATTGGTGGGAGCTGTGTTACTCCCATGCTGCTGGCAGGCACCAGGGTCTCTGTGCACATTCCACTGCTCCAAGGACTGGAGCACTCCATGCAACAACAGGCTGCACAAGGGTCTGGATCATTCCCACCTCTGTCAGAGCAGGATCAGCAGCTTCAAAGGCCCAAGCGATTCAGACTACATTCCAGGGGAACCACAGGGGAACCACCACAGGGCCAATCCCTCTGTGTCAAATTTGGCACCAGTGGCTCCCAAGACAAAGTCGTTTAGGGACCTGTATCCATTTGTTAACCAAACACAGGAAGTTGCATGAATGAGAAAGGTCTTTTCCACTGGTTCTGCCTCTTGGACCTCTGGAGGAAAGGAGCACCCTCTCCCTGCCCTGCTGGCACTCACTTTTGAATTTGCTCATCTGACAGCCCCCGCGGGTTCCTGATGGAGATCTCCGGAGCTTTATTGGGATACTAGGAAGACAAGAAAAGAAAAGAAAAGAAAAGAAAAACCCAAGCACAACAAGGGAGGTGGAGAGGCCCGAGGCGGGGAGGAGGGGACACGGAGGGCCGCAGCCTACCTGGGGAGGCACCGAGAGCACCAGAGTGAAGCGCACATACTGTGAGTCCTGGTCCTGGGCCGTGGCGGGGTGCAGGGTGATGCTGATCTCCCAGGGCTCCCACCTGCAGG